GTTTATAGTGAGTTTTCCCATTAAAAATGGTCATTTTCAATAGCTATGTTAAATTACCAGAGGGTAAGTAAATTCAAAAGCTTGAGTTCGCGATACGCGTCAAGATTATCAAATTTCAAGAGTAATGCTCTGTGGAGGGGGTACGGTCCTCAAAAATGATGGTACGGTGAAGGGTGCGGTACGTTGGGTACGGTGGTACGGTACGGTGGGTACAGTGGGTACGGCACGGTGGGTACGGTGGGTACGGTACGGTGGGTACGGTGGGTACGGTACGGTACCCACCGTACCGTACCCACCGTACCCACCGTGCCGTACCCACTGTACCCACCGTACCGTACCCATAGAAAGTGTCATATGTACCTACCCGTGCTGAATCATCAGAAAACATGCTTTTCATTCCTCTTGAAATTAGATAACGTCAAGAGCCTTTATCATATCTGCGGTAAGATCATCATGGCCGGGCGCTTTGCCCTTACGCAGCTTATCAATGGCAGTTGAAAGTTCTACCGAGGAAATTTCTGCGAGGGGTAGGGAAGGGCCCATGCGTAGAACTTCGCTGTTAATGGACTCGACGCGCGCTGCGGATAATGTAGATGGCGCCCAGCGGTCTAATGCGTAGTGATCTCGAAAAGCGATATGCGTTTGGGACCAGGGGACAACTACACCATCGCGCACTAAGCGTGTACGCCGTGCTGAAAACCTTTTTTTTGCTGGCGGACCGTGAGCCACAAATTGCGCTTATGTGGGGTGTGATCTTGTTCCAGCACCTCGAGATGAAGAAGTTCACCAACACCAAGACCTTGAGGCCGAAGAACGCCTCCTTCATCTTCTTGGCCGAGTTCATCGCGATCATCGTGACGTCGTCCGAGGCCGCCATGGACGACATGGTGAACTTGAAGGTCCTCATCATCTCTCCCCTGCAACTGCAAGATCACCGTGTTGATGACGTCGTTGACCAATCTGCACTTGGACAAGACGAGCAGGTTGGCGAAGGGGAACAGCATCCCCTGCCCCATCCCGCTCATGATGGTGATGGCCTGGGGCGACTTCGTGGTGTTCTCCTTCAAGTACTCCATCTCGGTCATGTTCGTGACGTAGTCCTCCATGAACTTCCTCTGCATCGACACCGGCAAGCAGCAGATCTTGGCGCCGAACGCCCTGGTGATGCTCATCATCAACTCCTCGATCTGCTTCGGCAAGTTCATCGCCACCAAGAGGTACATGAAGGAGCTCATCAAGAAGCTCGGGGAGTACTTGGACGTGTCCGTGTTGTAGGAGATGAAGAAATTGAAGCTCTCGACCATGTTCCCCATTTTCTTGATGTCGTTCTCCAGGTTGATCTGGTGCAACACCTTGTTCTTGATGCTCACCATGTCCTCGGAGAAGAGGGAGCCCAGGCTGGCGAAGAACTCCTCGACCAAGGACAAGGACATCCTCAAGAAGATCTGCTGCGTCAAGATCTCGCGCTCTCCCCCGATCTGGTCCTTAGCGAACAACGAGAAGATGGCCAACAACACCTCCTTCTCCTCGAGGTAGCTCCAGAGGGTGCTCTTGATATTCTTCTCGTTGAAGAAGATGAAGATCAAGTTGCTGATGACGTCCGACTTCTCGAACTTGTGGCAGATCTCGTGCTTGGACAAGTGGTCCAAGCCGGTCGACAACAAGGACGTCTTGTTGGAGGCGCACTCTATCATCTGCTTGGACATCATCTTCAACAGCGCCTCGTTGTAGTGGAAGTTGGAGGTCATGGCCTTGGTCGCGACCTTGTCCCCCATCAGCATGTAGGCGTCCTTGGACCACTGGAACTTCTGGTCCCTGGACAGCATGAACGTCATCAAGCTCTCCACCGTGCTGGGGATGTCCCCGGTGAAGAACTTGGACCTGAAGTCCGTCTTGTCCATGCTCCTCATCTTGATCCAGCGCATCTCGGACTCCATGAGCTTCATCATGATCTGCCTGGACTTCGTCAGCAACGCGCCCTTGTCCTTCCTCAACGTGTGCCCGGCCGAGACCATCTCCAGCACGAAGTCCAACTCCATCTCCTTCTCCCCGGTCAGGTCGGGCATGAAGAGGAACTTCCCCTCCTTCGTGAACTGCTCCTGCGTCATCTTGTGCCTCTTGGCGAACAACCTCCTGCTCCAGTTGATCAACAGCAGGGTGAAGGAGCTGTCGATCGAGGTCCACCTGGACATGTCTACCAGCTTGTTGAGCAAGTCCTTCATGTTGGCGAAGAGGGAGGTCGAAGCGCAGCAGTTGACCAAAGAAAATGCAACACATTGAGCTAAAGGCAAAATTGCAAAACATATCAGGCAATGCAGTTGTTTTGCAGTTGTTTTCGCTTGCTTTCATTAACCAAAGAGAAATATCTGTATATAGTCTATGAAGTTGTATGCCTGTGCTACATTCCCAGCAAACAATACTTTGAAGAAATGAGGTTCTTCAAAGAAGTGCAATTTTCCTTACAAAAGCATTCACTTCAACCAAAAAGTTGTTGTTATTTACAGGATGGTGGTTGCTTTTGAGCTAGTATTTTTTTTCACGAAGGAATCTTTTTGTGAAGGTTGGATTTTTTAAAGAACAATATGTGTTATCTGCGATGTGTATCGTGTTCTAAAGTGCAATATTCCTGTCTTTCCTTTGTCATGGTAACGTTCCTTCAGGCAGATGCTGATTTATTCAAAGATTGACTACTTAACTTAAAGTTGCAGTCGTATTTAAACGGTTTAGTTTTACAACAGAAACAATAGTGTCAAAATATGCACTGTGTCCTTTAAAGATGTAACCTTCCTCTCAAAGAAGCTCAGCTGGCCTTTATGTTTGAAAGTAGCACCGTTTCTTTGAACAAATGCAACGCTCCTTTCAAAGAAACCCAGCTGTCATCTGTTTGGAAGGAACAACATTGTTTGAAGGAAAGGCTTTACTCACCAAAATTGAATCAGCTGCATCTTTTGAAAGTTACACCATGATCTGAAAATATGTAACAGTCCTTTCAATCACACCATTTCTGTGTGAATATGTAACACTCCTGTCAAAGAACTCCAGCTGCGCTCTACTGGGACAGGAACCATTTATTTGAAGGAACGGTTTCCTTCACCAAAAACATAATTTTACATCCCCAAAGGCTTCACACCTGAAACGGAAAATTGCACATCCCCAAGGAATACTGCGCATGTTTAGCATACAATATTTTTTAAAGTAATGATTTCACAAGAATGCCTTGGGGGCAAGATGAATCAGATTTGGTTTGGATTAATCTGGATCAATCCTAAGGAATCAACAATCCAAAGAAACAAAAAAACAAAGAAACCAACAAAAACAATGTTTTCCAGACTAGTCTGAACATGCCTAGATTCAAGTAGTCCCCCCTTTTTTTTGTTTTGGGTGATTACACTCTAAGCTCTATTTCCACTAGAAAAGGCTTGTGTATGGACAGCAAAAGGCCAATATGGTTTTAGATAATGTAATGTATTTAGGGAAACAAATTGCCTTTTGCGCGCCCACAACAAGCCTGTCTGTATTTCTAATAGAAAAGGCTTGTGCATGGACAACAAAAAACATAAGATCATGTAATATATCGACAACAAACAATGAATGTATACAAACAATTTGTGATTTCAGCGCTGGCAACAAGCCTTTCTGGAAAAAAATGGCAAAAGGCTGAAATAGGTTGGACAATTGCTTAAAACCAATGACACAAGGCTGAAATAATTTAATGGTAATATGATTACATATGATATACCATGTAGATAGATAGATAGATAGATAGATAGATAGATAGATAGATAGATAGATAGATAGATAGATAGATAGATAGATAGATAGATAGATAGATAGATAGATAGATAGATAGATAGATGTATAAACACAAACTAAACACACTACAAGAGAATAATCAATACATAACATTGATATAATTATACAGTATCAGTACAACATAATACTAGTAATATGAAATAAACCAATAAATTATCAAAATACAACACGAAGACATTCCGACGGTTTTGATCTACTGGTTGTCCAACCAGTTCAATGTATCTTTCACTAACCTGACATACTCCACGCGCCATGGGAAATGGAACTTCGTTTTGTGGAGCCCGCCCGCCCTTTCGCGGAGTGGTATGACCCACCCAAAGCATTTGCTCAGAGTTTGATGAACCATTTCCCAATCGCAAAGGACCCAAGAAACAAACATGAAGAAACCACCCTCTAATATACAATAATCAATAATATACATTTCACGTCATTTTACACTCCATTCCATACATAAACGATTGTAAAGATCTGTAGAACTATCCGCGCAACTGGCTTTCAGAACCTGAATCTATTTGAATCAGGTTCCACCAAACAGCCTGCACCAGCTTACCTTCACATCTATGGAATCTCGATAATTAGGTGGAGTCTGGAGGGGCCTAAGTGTCTGAATTCCAGGTACAAATGGTCCAACACAGTTGTTTTTTTTTTTTGGGGGGGGGTAGTTAAATTTAACATGATTTAACTATTTAACTTACCATTCGATTTTTGGGGTTGTACAATGTGGAGCCATTCCCACATAATCGACTCTAGTTGTTACTCTAGTTGAAATCCTCCGAGTAACTAGTTGTAGTAGGTTCGTCCTCTCTTATACAAACATGGCCAGAAAATACTACAGTTATCTGCAGTTGCAAATGATTTCCCTCCTCTCTCTCTCCATCGCCCTCTCCAAGAGTTCAGCCTGAGGCTAAAGGCGAGCCGTTGGCTCCCAACTCAGGAACAGCACATCAGCAGACTAGATCACAACATGGGCATCGTGAAATGACCCGCAGGCTACTTTAAGCGGTCCATTTAATGCTTGGGAATCTCCAGTTGGTAAATGGTTAACAACAAACGCTAGTAACCAATATATTATTAGGATATGATATATCATGGTATATCGCATCCAGCAGTTCATTCCCTCATATGACCCTTATATATATATAATATATACATATGTATATGTATATGTATGTATGTATGTTATATAACTGGCTTCTCTGCAGGCTGTTCAGCCAGTGCCAGTGCTGTGGTCATATTACGACCACCGCCTGGCTAAGCATCGCCAGCACCGCCAGCGCGGCCAGCGGGGCCCGATTCACCGAGATGTCGTCGTCAGCCACCGTGACGCTGACCACCTTCTGCTTGAAGGTGCCACCTGTGGACGTTGGCGCCAGCAAGCTACAGAGACTCGCACGTACACAATATGTACGGTTTATTACAGACCTGCAATCATAATCAATCACATACATAATATGTAGTGTACACATGTGATGTGCGACATGTCTGTATGCAAATGCAGTCATATGCGCTCACTGTGGGCTTGTTGGTTGAAGCCCTGGCCTGCCACTTGTCTCATCTCCGCATCCAGAAGCTCGTTGAACGTTGGAATATCTATGGTGCTGAGCTTCTCTTGAACCGATGTCAATGGAATGCTGGGCGTGTCTTCCGAAGTGTACGGAATGGTGATGACATACGTCATGGTGAGGTAGCCCAACTGGGAGCTGGTCCTCTCAAGATCCACCAAATCGCTGGGAACCGAGGCGACCTCGGACATGACATTGATGTAGGCTTCCCGAACCGCCTGATCATCAAAATACTCCAGGTAGTTCTGAGGATCGGTGACTTCCACTCTCATGGAAATCCTCATCACTGCCGCTGGGCCCAGGGTGGATTCAGGCCCACTGGATTCACCAGGTGCTGAGGTGGGAAGCATCTCTGTGGTATCTGGATGGTGACTGGTAGTTGTAGTTGAACTCAAGCTGGATGTGGTCAACGTTTTGCTGGTGATGCTGGAACTAGTGGTCGTTTCCGTGGTTTCCGTGGCGGTGGAGGTGTGGGTGTGACTGGTGATGCTGGTGGTCGCAGTGCTGGAGGTGGCACTGCTGCAGCAAGGGTAGGCACAAAAGGTAGCACACTCCACGATATTCACCAAGCCCTCACCTTGGATTTCACTTATAGGGCCCCCAAAAGCGACATATTGCAAGCATTTGCAAGCAATGTGACAGTTCTTCGATGTTTTTGGTGTATGCTTTAAAAAAATAGTACCACTATAGTCAATATAAACTGCCCATTGTGGTTCACTTCACCGTAACCAGTGGGAAAAACAAATAGGACAAGTCCTCGATAGTCCTGGTCCATGTCACAGGTGAGCCCCGAATGCGCCAGGCTGTGGCAGGTAGCCTCGCCCTTACATTTGCCCGTCAAGGTCTCGAAGGGGCAACCTGGTAAGTCCACATCATGCCCCAGGCAGGGCAGGATGGAAGCGAGAAACCACAGGCGAGAGATCATGGCGCAGCTGGGGCAG